AGACTAATGGTGTTGACCACGAGTTTGTAAACTATGACCTGGTAACTAAATTCAGCTGCCTATTTTTATAAATACAATTTTATTGGAACACACACACCTTCATGTGTTTATATAATGACTATAGTTGCTTTTGTGCTATAATGGCAGAGTCAAGTGGTTGGAGTAGAGAACATTTGGCCTGCAAAGCCTAAAATATTTACTATTTTGACCCCCTACAGAAAACTTGTGATGATCTTGATGTTGGAACATCTTTTCATTTGCTTATTGGCTACCATAAATCTCCTTTGGCTAAAGAAAATCTATTTGAATACTTCACCATTTTTTTCTTAAATGTTTTGTCTTCTTACTGAGTGGAAAAAATTAATTTAAATATTATGGATACAAGTCCTTTAGTTGATATACATGTTACAAATATTTTCTCCCAATCTATAGATTGGTCCTTCTTTTTCTCTTTAGCTTTTATAAAGTTGAAAACTTTAAAAGTTTGATCAAATTTACTTTAAACATTTTAAAAATCTCTGTTTCATGTGTCATATCTGAATGGATGGAGATTAATTTAATTATTTTGATATCTTAGAAAATATGATTTTGTATCATCATATAGGTAACAAGTAGAGAGGTTGGCAGAGACATACTATGGGTAAAAATCAGGTTTGTTTTTTTAATCCTGAAACAACTGAGTTATTATTATTTTATTGACATCAGTATTATTAGCTATTGTTTTACTTAATATCTTAATGAAAATTAATGCTGATCTGGTTTATTCCCAAACTTGCTATATAGAATATTTCTAATTTTTCCTTAGCATTTTACAACATTGAAGGCATATAAGTTGATTATTGCTGCTATACTCATAGATATTTTTACTTTTACAAGAGAGAATGAGCATTTTGCAGTTTTTTTCTTGAAGTGATTTCATCAACTTGAGCAACTTTATATCAATAATTTAGAACACATTCTGAAATATTTTGAAACATATAAGAAAACTTTCTGAGAGATTAAACCTCAAAGAATTGCTCCTTCTGAGAGGGCTGTAATGGTAATTCCTTTCTTACAGATTGTGACCGAATGTCCGTGGTAGTTCGGCAGGTGTTTGTGCTGTGTACCTTGGCAGAGCTCTACTGCAGAAACTACCGCAGCCACTTGGGATTCTGGGGTCAATATTACCTGTCTGCTTAACACCTGTGCCTACAGCAGGAGCAACCTGCACCCTTGGGTTGATCTGGAGAATTTTATAAACTCATAGGATCTACCTTTTGTCTGATTTTCTAACCTCACTACCTTCTGCACTGTTTTTAATGCCACGAGACATGCATTTATTTTTGAAAATTAAAAGGGGATTGATTCTAACTTTTTTTGAAAGATTTTTTTCTTTTTTAGATTTTTTTTCTTATAGAATTCCTTAACAAACTTTGAGGTATTTAGACATACCCTAGGGTGTTGTGAAGAGAGGACTAGACGTAATTGTCATGTATCCACTATTCCACTTTGCCAATGTGCACTCGTGTTTTCTCAGCCATACTAATTGCTTCCCTGAAATGTTTTCATTCTTCGTTTTGTTTCACTCTTGGTTAGCATGTGCTTTGTTTATTGTACAGGACAAATAAATATTCTTGTTTTTCTAGGGGTTTTCTGGGTGACATATATGCTGTTTTACTTATAAATGTTGTCCTAGTTAAGCTTCTGTCATGTATTATTTTGCTATAATCTGTAAGTCATTCACCAGAGGTCTTTCTACTGTTGAAAGATAATTGTCATGACATGACGTACTGTTTCAAAACATTAAACCAGAATTATTCAGAATGAAGATAAATTTACCAAAGATTAAAAATTATTATAGGATGTAGATATTTCCTAAAATATTGGAGAAAGTGTCCAAGAGTATAAAATGTAATGGTACTCTAAATACTGGAAAGAGGAAGATTGCCTGACCTTTTTGCTGAGCACTGAAAGGATTAATGGAGTTTAAGTGGACGGGCAATGGGGTGGAGAAAAGCAAACCCAGGACAGGGGTGACCACCCTGGGTGACAATGTGAGCACAGCTCCAGTATACACTGCAGAATGTGAGAAAATTATACTGGTCCCAAAAAGTAAGATGTGTTATAAAATTATAAGATAAGAAGTAATGCACGTCTAGATAAGGAAGGATTTGAGTGCCGAGTTCCAAATAAGGAACTGGGATGATAGTCTCAAAATATTAAGTTGATGATGCTGTTGTTTGGAGATAAGATTTGTCTGTGTGTGTTTCTCCTTTTTAGGACTTTTCAAAGTTTAGCTCTAGAAAGCCATATAAATTGGAATTTTGGATTAAGTAGGGAAGCTAACTGCCAATTATTTTAAAAGTCATATGATGTTGATGTATTAGGAAAAGGGAGAAAGGCTGGAGTCATGAAACTTCCTGTGCAGGGGAAGTGAGGACACTTCCATTTCTGTGGCTCAGCGATTCTGTTCTCAGCCTGCCTTTCTCTTGCTTGGTGAGAAAGCCTTCTTCTCCATTTGCCAATGGGAGTATATAATGTGGTATATCGTGCCAAAATTTACAAGCAAAGGTCTAATGTGATGGTGCTGTTTCTCTTGGCTTTTAGTCAAATGAGCATGCAGCCCACGTACACTAAGATTCCTTACTTTCTTCTTCCCAAAAAAGGTGTTGGAAATAAGCTGACCGTATTTTGATTTATTGTGAGACCTGATGACTTTCTAAAGTAGCAGAATATGTGCTTGACTTATATTTGTTCTATCTGTTGAGCAGGATGAGTAACTCTAAGGTTAATTTAGGCTCACAACAAAGAAGGGAAAAATTGGCTTGCACAAAATCTGTTATATCTGAAGTATAAATCATTTCATCAAAATCTAATGAAGACTGGACAAAACATCAGAAATTAATATCAACTTAAGTGTTATGGTCTGGGGTGTTGGCCACTCTGTACTCTGTTGGGTAATAACAAAGTTCTCAATAAAAACAGGAGAAGAAGTCCAGCCTAGTGAGAACCTGAGATCTAGTTTTGACCCTGAATCTCAAGGTCAAAACTTAACTTGCACAGTGATAGAGGTGTGTCTGCCCCTAGGTTTAGCTGCTTGTGCTACAAGAAGATTGGACTAGATGAACTGGACTAGGTATATTTTCTGCAGACTTTAGATAAGCCACCCAATATCTCTGGGTTTTGATTTTGCTAAAAATATAGGAAGAGCTATCTGAATCAAGAAATTCATAGAAATCACATCAAGGTCTTGGGGAAGTACAAAGTGCTCTGCACATACCTAGAAATAGTACTGCTGGCTGCTGAGGTAAGAGTGGTTCCCAAGTCTGGTACCCAAGATGGGGTTGTTTCTATCTTGTCAGAGTCCTGTTGGAATCCTTTTATGTAGCTGTACTGACATGGTCCAGGTTGATTTTGACTGGAATAGTATAATTTTAGTATGATAACTTTGGGAGGCCCAGACTGTTCAGAAGTGCCGACTGGTATATATACAAGTCTTTTTATTAATGAGAAATGGAATATGAGTTATTAAATTAGTAAATGCAATCTTTCCAATAGGTAAAATATTTTAAGTGTGAAATCCCTGTAGATAAGAGAGAAAATATTTGAGGTTCACAATCTTTTATCTGAAGCTTTGAGCCTGGTATGTTTTTAATTCAGAAAACCTTTGGACTTTAGAAATGTACTAGGATGCCTCAACCACACGTTGAGTAGTCTCTTCAGTGGGCCCTTGACAATAAATTTAACACATTGACATTTCTACAATTAAACATATGGATAGTCATACTGATTATTCAGTGAGATTATGAAACACTAAGAGGCTTTACAACAGTTCAGATTGAATTTTGTTTCCAAATTAGTTTGCTGTGAATTTAACCAAACAAAACCTTTCAGATTTCTGAATTGTGGCTAAGGGTTTTAACTAGGCCTAATCAACTAAACAATTATTGAGAAACTGCTATGTGCCAGGTTTGAGATGGTGCCATTTATGCTAATCCTAGTAAACGTTCTGGTAAAGTGAACATTATCCATAATGAATTATCCATTATTCATAATTTACGAATTAGGAAGGGGAAACCAAGGCTCAGCCTGTTCAGTGAGTAGCCAGTGACCACACTAATGTAAGTATGTGGCAGAGTCGGAATTTGAACTCAGCTCCTTCTGCCCCCAAAATAAAGGATAATATTGTTTCCTCACTGCTTGGTCAAGACCTCTGGTTATTGTGGTCATCTGTCTCTTTTGCCTGTATAGTAAAAAATAAATAAAAATAAAATAAAATAAAATAAAATAAAATAAAATAAAACCTTAAAAATTTCATTGTTTTCTGTCCTCACTCTGTACAGTCTTTCTGAGAAAATTCATCCAGTGATCATTTAGAACTGAATGACACTCAGATGGATCTCTACTGCATTCCGGAGCATCTCACTTAGATATTCGACTTAGTGTTGGACGTCTCCATGTACTTGTCTCATTGGCCCAGTGAGCTCCGGATAGAACGAATCCTTTTTCTCCTCGACTTTTTCAGAATTCCCTAGTCTACCATCTCAGTTACCCAAAGCTAAAATCCTCCCACTTCCTTCTCTTTCCAACTGTATTAATCACTAGGTCCTTCAAGGTGTAGCCACAGAGCAACAGAGAGGCTGGGGGTTTTCAGAGCACAATAATTTCATTTACCAATTAAAGATCTTTTCAACATTCCCAAACAATACATATAAAATGAAGCTTTTGACCAATTGAGGATAGCCAAAATAGCCTTAAATCCCATCTACCAGCTCAGTGACAAGTTACCTAATATTAAACCCTACTATGTATTTTACTTTGTATTCTAGACTGCTTTATATGTTACAAAATCTGTGTGCTGTGATCTCAAAATTACCTGCATTTTGGTTATTCAAGAAGGGGTGTTGTGAAATTGAGTAACTAAGTAGATTCCTATAACAACTAACCTTTGCTCTGAAATCGTCCTGGGATGCTAATGGAGTAAAGTAACAGCCACCTATTTTTTTTATTCCCATCTTTAGGTAAAAGGCCAAACCTGAAAGTCCACATCAATACCACAAGTGACTCTATCCTCTTGAAGTTCCTGCGTCCAAATCCTCATGTAAAACTGGAAGGTTTTCTCCTGGGATATGGCAGCAATTTATCACCAAACCAGTACTTCCCTCTTCCCTCGGAAGGGAAATACACCGAGGCTGAAGTTGGTAAGATGTTTGGCTCTCAGGCCTGGGGAGGAGACATGAAAGATAATAGGTGTTACATGATACATGAATCTTGAAAGCAAGCACCATTTCTTCCACATCCTCAGCTAAATCAAATGCCAGAATCACAAATCCTCTGCATAACTGTTGTTATCCATAGCACAATTCCTTGCATGAAAAAATATGTACTGCATATTCTGCATGTATGACAGAAATAATCAGCGTCATTGCCATTATACCTACAATTCCTGAGCACATAACTTAAATTGCATGGGGGAAAAATAAGCTGGAAGGCCTGGTTTAAATCTCTGTAATATAACCATGTGGATTATTCCCCCTCCCCAAGTGTCTTCTGGTGGAAAGTAACAACTGTGGCTTTCTGGGTATCTCTTCATGAGAAGCTACCTTTAAAAAGAAAAGCAAATGGGCTACATTTAGAAAAATGTATAGTATTTCAGACAAAAAGATTAAAGTTTTCATATCTATTCAAGTTTTATAAAGTTTAATATTTCTTTGAAAATGTTTTTAATCACATTAAAATGTAATTTGGAGGATGTGGGCACCTTTATCTTGTTCAGAAAAATTACTTGGAAAAAAAACCTTTTAAAGAATAACTTCTAAAAAAAGAGATAATTTTTATGAATGCTTTCAAAGGCTTCTGAATAGTCTGAGATTTATATTTTGCTTCACTGCTTGGATTATTGCTAAAGAGCCTTGCCACAACTTTTGATATTTAATCCTATAACTTGAACTACTGTAGATAGGATCTGACATTTATTCTTTTGTGCCTGAATGTTGAAGATGAATCTGGTTTGTCGTTCAGCCCCTTGTCCTCACAGGGAAGTCTCAGCTGTACTTTAAAATTAGGCAAAGGTTAGTGAGTGGAGGGATTGAGCAAGAAGGAAAAGGGACTCCTGGACATGGACGCCATGTGGTGATTCCAGGGGACAGCAGTAGAAGGTATATGGGAGATAAATGGTAATGGAAAAATACAATAAAACATGAACTATTAAAAATAAAATGAAATCAGGCAAGAGAGTAACATTGTTAATTAAATGTCTATACTAGATTTTACATAAGATAATCACTTTAAATCAAACAAATTACAGTTACCAAGAAGTTGAGAATTAGGAACTTTGGACATATGTAACAACACTAACCTTGAATGTGGAAACCATAGGGAATTTGAAATTTTGCAAATATTCCCCATTATATTACTCTTTACTATGAAAAGTGACTGAATGCTTTAACTCATCACAAACAGAAACAGATCTACTGCTCCTTTGTTCATTGGGAGTTAGAAGGGACAGTTTGTGATAGTGGACTAATTAAATGATGTGGGGTAATCAAAACAATAGTAAATGAATAAAGGGGTGCCTAATCCATTTGATTTAGGCACCCTTTTATTTATTTACTATTGCTTTCATCCTTTAGAATATTTTTATTATGGAAAGTTCAAACATAAGAGGAAGGAATATTATAATGAGCCTCATGTCTCGTCATGCAACTTGAATATATATCACCTTTTTTGCTAATCTCGTCCATGTATCCTTCACATACATTATATTATTTGAGTATTTTAAAGCAAAATTGGAGATCATATTTTTTAAATCTATGACCACTCCAGTAGGTATCTCTAACAGATAAGAAATATTTTTCATAATTTTGTGCCTTTATCACATTATAATAATAATTCTATAATATTTTCTACCTAGTCCATATTTAAATTTCTCTGGTCTTAAAAGTGACTTCTTAGAGTTGTTTTTTTTTTTTTTTTTTTGAGTCAGGATCCAAACCAGGTCTGCACATTAAATCTGGTTTTTATGTCTCTTAAATCTCTTTTATTCTCTAACAATTCTCTTTCCCTTCCCTATTTAAATGTCATTGATTTTCTGGAGAAATTGGACAAGGAGAGCACCTTGTCCATTCCCTTGCTAACATTCCATATTTTTTAACTTGTTCCTTTATCCATGTAAAGATATGGATATCTTTAGATATCCATGTAAAGATATCTTTCCTGTGTAAAGATTTAGATTTGGAGTTTGTATTAGATTTGGATTCAGCTTTTGGTGGGAAATGATACTTTATAGGGGGTACTATATATTTCCCAGCAACCCACAGAAGAGGTACACGATGGTTGATATCACACTTAGTGATGTTAAGACTGCTTGGTGTGTTAGGTGGTCTCAGCCTGATCCCTCCATTATAAAATTCACCATCAAATATCACTTAATGTTTTAGCATCTATTGGTGCAGTGTCCAGATTCATTATTTTAAACTGTGGTTGTAAAATAGCAGTTTACATTGCAGATACAGTCCAGATAGAATCTAACTTTATCATTTCTTCTGTACTGTCTGGCTGAAATTCTACAATGAAGAACTTTCTCTCAGACTTTATTTTCTTTAATAGTGTTTTAGACAAGGCAGGGTAAATCCTCATTGCACTAAGTTGGTGCTCTGCTAATCTCCGTGGTGACTAATGATATTGTTTATTTGTTTAATGATCAATAATAATAGATTATTTTTTATATACTTAAATGGGTTTTAATCAATATGTCGATTACCTAGCTCTTATGACCTTTTTCATTGTCTAGCTTGGATACAACTGGTTGTTTACCTTAGATCACTATTAAATTGTGACTTCTTGAAGTCAAGGTTTATGTCTCCTTCTCTGGTTGTTTGTAGAATGATTTATGAGTAGATAGGCAATAACTACCTATTTGTGGCACTGAATTGAATAGACTCAAGTCAGTGTAGAATATGTAGGCTGGAGGAGGCCATGAGAGATTGTGTAATCTAGACCCTAGCCATCAGGCAAGTATATGTCTCAGCTCTCCAAGGTAGATAAAACAGATAGATCATTGTGTACCTTAAAGATCTCCAGAGACAAAGATTCCCAAACTTCTCCTGGAAAGCATTTTCAAATAGCCTTTTAAAAACTCTTAGCTCACCATTTAGATCAATGCGTTCTTTTCATTAACCTCCTTTGTCTTCCAGAGTATTCTAGTGGAAGAAAAAAAAAACTGTTCCTGTTACATACTTCCTTCCCCACCTTTCTCTATGCCAAGGAACCTGTGTGCTTCTACTTTCATTACTTCAAAATGTGCTCTGGCCCGCAGAGCAGTCAACTGGAGCTCGACCACCTACCTAGAATAAATGGGTTGGGGGGACAAGAGGCACGAAGAATGGCAGCAAGACAATAGATTCTGATCAAGCTGCAAACTTTATTTTTCCGAACTGTATATATATGGGAGGAGGGAGAGGAAGGAGATTAGGTTGCTTGCTATTGGCTAGCTTAAGACAAAGAAGGGCCCACTTATTGGTTACTTTGGTGTAACTTGTACTCGTGGACACCTCACGTGCCTGTAGCTGATTGGCTTGTGGAGCGCATGCACACAGGCGCTAGCCAGAGGTTATTTTGAAAGTCCTTGTTGATTACAGGTTCCGGTAATCAACGGACTGTGCCTTGCGGCCAACCGCAATGTTTTTAGCTAAAAGCCAGGTGCAAGGTTCCCAACAAAAATGGTCTTGCATTTCCAGGTTAAATGTTATTCTTTGGTTGCTCAGGTTGATTATTTATTGTCTTGCTTAATTGCTATTTTTGTATTTATTGCTTCTAGTTGATTAGTAGAGCTGCCTATTAGTTTTCTACTGTTGCTCTAGTAAGTTACCAAACTTGGTGGCTTAAAACATCACAAACTTATCTTACCCTTCTTTAGATCAGGAGTTCGGCATGGGTCTCACTGGGCTACAGTCAAAGCTTGGGCAAGGCTGCCTACCTTCTGGAGGCCCTTCCCTTAACAAGGGTTCTTCCCTTAGGAAGAACCCATCTCCTTGCCTTGTTTTAGCATTCATCTTCTATCTTCAAAGCCAGCAACAGTGGGTCAAGCTGTTCTACCACATCACTCTGATCTTCTCTCCTGTCTCCCCCTTTCACTCTTTTTAATCCTCACTGGAAGACATGCTCATTGATTCTAAAGAAGAAGGGAGGGAAAGAGAGAGGGAGAGGAACTCATGTGAGAGAGAAATATCAATTGGTTGCCTCTTGTCTGAAACCAGGCTGTGGATTGAACCTGCAACCAAGGTTTGTGTCCTGACCAGAAATCAAACCTGTGACCTTTTGGTTTATAAAACAATGCTCCAATGAAGTGAGCCACACTGGCCAAGGCCCTTGTTTACTTTCTGAGGATCCTTGTGATTATATCGAGCCCACCTCTACAATCCAGGATTCTCTCCCTATTTTAAGGTCAGCTGATTAAAAACCTTAATTGCATCTGCAACCTTAATTCTCCTCTCATGTAACCCAACATATTTACAAATTCTGGGGATTAGGATGCAGACCATTACTCCGCCTGCCACAAACTATATGTTTGAAATTAGTGTCTCGATCCTATTCCCTTTCTGCCAGAAGTTTACTGGTGATCATTCTCAATTCTATTCACCTGTAAAGGAGTAACAAAGTCTATTTTTCACAGATGTGCTGTGGGCATATTAGTGAATTTATAGTCATAAGTGATGAGTTGAAATCCCTTCAGTGTAGTGTGCCATACAAGAGCAAAGAATTTTTGTGGGGTTTTTAATTGAAGAAAAGCATCATTTACACCCCCTCTTCTTACTTTCTACTGTAATTGGATAGTAGTATTTGTTTGGCTGCACTGAACTATACTTATAGTAACTTATTGCCATTTTCAAGGCAAACATAAAGTGCCACATCATTTGACACATTTCACTTGTTTGATGTGTTTAAAAGATGTCATTGTTGAAGTGAGAAGCTGTTGATCCTTCAGAAATATTCAAATTAACATTTAGTGATTAGTGGACTAATACTGCTTCTAAATAGTCATTAATAAATATTTCTACATTTATTTTAATATTTCTTTGTCTCTATCTATGTAGTATTAACAGAGGCATTTCCAAAAGTCACATGCTGGACTTACATGCAAAACTAAAAAGCATCAAGTATTTCCTTTTGCTATTTTGAAAAATAAGGTTCATATCAAATT